TAGTGCCTATTTGGCTGTCAATATAAACCCCTGTAGGGTCTCCAGAGCAGAAAATCAGCCCCCGGACTTGCTAATGAGGACCGTCTAATGAGGAGAGCCAATACATCCATTTCCCAGCTAATTCCGGAGCTGAATCGTTCAACAAACAGGGCGTGGCATGTGTGTGTTTTGCTGGCCTCCCTCCAAACCTTTGCCTGCCCTGCCTCTGTGACATCACAAGGGCCCACCCACCCCCATGACATCACAGAGACCCACCACCTGCTCACAGGTTTTGGCTGTCAAGGCATGGGGGGGATATTGAGCCAGCGAGATCAAAAAATAACCCAACACAGGTAAGTAGAGATTCATTACCGCTCGTCTTTCTGTTCTAGACCTCTGATTAAAAACTGCCTCTTGGTTTCTCCCGAGAGATGTTTTCCAGGGAACCGAAGCAGACCAGCGGCGCCACTAGGAATTCAGCATTTCGATCGCCGTGAGAGCCACGGAGGTCTTTCGGAAAAGGTCTAAGATGGGCTTCTTGGGCAGCTTCATGGCCGTGCACCCAAAGCCGCTCAACCCCCAGCTGGTAAAAGGCAGCCTGTCCTGGCACTGAACCCATTTGGGGGCTCCCGGCTCCCAGTAATAAACAGTATTATAGTATTCCTCGTCGTTTTCACCCTCCAGGTTATTGTAAAGGTAGGTGTTCTCTCCCCCCAGGACGTAGATCCGGTGCTTCCAGCGTGCCACGCCGGCTCCTGCCAGCTCTATGGGCAGCCTGGGGATGGTGACACTCTTGTCCACTTTACCGTCTTCCCCCAGGAAGAAGCACCGCCGGGAACAGCGCAGGTTGCTCGAATCCGGCCTGCGCTCGGTGTGATGCCTGGACCGGCTCCTGAAGTAGCCTCCGATCACATAAATCCCATTGTTCATGGCCACGGCCCCCGACCAGTAGCACTCGTTGTCCAGGAAGACGTGGCTCCACAGGTCGGCGCTGACGTGGTAGATGAGGACCTTCCGGGAGGCGTACCACGAGCCCACGGAGTCCGTGACCCCTCCCACCAAGTAGAGCTTGCCCTTGAGCACGGCCGAGGCAAAATGGCTCAGCGCCAGGGGCATTTGGGCAATGGGAGACCAGGACTTCTCGGCCAAGTCGAAGCACTCGCCCGTGTTGAGGTAATCCTCGTATTTACACCAGCCTCCAATGGCAAAAAGTTGCTGGTTGCAAGCTAGAAATCCGTGGGACGCTCGGGCCACGGACATGGAAGGGAGCTGGATCCAGCGGCCCTTTAGAGGGCTGTACTCGTGCAGCATGTCTGAATACGTGTCATCCGTGTGGACCCCGCCCGTGACGTACAGCTTGTCTCCCACGGCCACGCAGCGCGCGCAGTACAGACATTTCAGGAGGGGCAGCTTTCCCCACGTCTCGGCTTGTGGGTCGTAACAGCCCACCTGGAAATCTTTGGTTTTCAGCTCTGGGCCCTCCATGTTGAAAAGGTCCACGCAGACGATGCAGGTGGTGTACATCCCCCGCCTCAGCCCACGGCTGTGTTGCAGCCTCTCGTGGCGGTTCACGCGCTTCCATCGCAGACGGAGCTCCCGGTGACAGGTCACGTCTGTCTGGACCTCCCTCAGCTCTTCCTCGGTCAGGAGCGGGAGGCGCACGTGGGCCAAGAGCTGACCCAAGAAAGGGAGGCGGCTGGCGCTTTGAGCTTTGACCCAGCGCCACACGGCGCGGTAGACGACGATCTCGGAAGAGACGGCCAGGCTGTCCAAGGAGATGATGTTCATCAAGGTGCTGGGATTCAAGTCAAGGAAGCTCTCGTCCTCTTGAGAGAGGCGTCGGAAATGGGCATTGACCAGGTTCTTGGCTTCTTGCAGCAGAGCTGGGTCGCTGTGCGCATAGCCGAGCTCGTAAAGGCGGAGGCAGTTCTCGGAGGAAAGGTGTTCCAAGAGGAATCTGGTGGGCAAAAAAACAAACAAACAAAAGGAATGGAATGCCCATTGAGTAACTAAAGGTCAATGCTGACAGTGTCCGGCCCAAGGGCATGACCCCTATGTGGATGATCAGGAAACTGGAAACCAAGCCAGAGGAGGAAAGACAGAAATAACTGTTTAGCCTTGAGAAAAGAAGACGGAGGAGAGATAGAATCACACTCTTCAAAGACTTGAAAGGTCGTCCTACAGAGGAGGGGCAGGATCTGTTCTCAATCATAACAGAAGGCAGGGCACGTAATAATGGGCTCAAGTTACAGGAAGGCAGATTTAGGCTGAATTTTTAAAAAAGAAACTTCTTAACTGTTAGAGAAGTACGACAACGGAAACAATGACCTCAGGAGGTGGTAAGTGCTCCAGCGCTGGAAACATTCAAGAGAAAACGGGACAACCCCTCTGTCAGATCTACTTTGGTTTAGATCCCTGCATTGAACAGGGAGTTGGACTTGATGGTCTTAGAGGTATCTTCCAACTCACTGATTCTGATTCTATGAATAAAATTGCATGGGCTAGTTAGTATGGATGGATGAAAAATAGGAAGTGATTTGAGTCATTTAAAGGGAACTGAAATTCATTTCCCTTAAGACAGTAAGCAGGCAATCTGTATGCCTGGTATTTGGCACCTCCTGTCTTCAGGAATTCTCAGTCATGGGTCCCCAAATGTTCTTGAACTGCAGCTCCCAGAACATGCCTGGTATTTGGCACCTCCTGCCTTCTTGAACTGCAGCTCCCAGAAATTCTGGACAGCACAGCTGGTGGTGAAGGCTTCTGGGAGTTGTAGTCCAAGAATAACTGGGGACCCAAGGTTGGGGACTACTGGTGCTAAATAAAGATGAGCAACTTCAAGATCTGTACTCACAAAGGCTTTCACAGCTGGGATCTAATCAAATAAAGATGAACAACTTCAAGATCTGTATTCGCGAACCCTTTCACGGACGGGCTCTAATGGTTGTTGTGGGTTTTTCGGGCTCTTTGGCCATGTTCTGAAGGTTGTTCTTCCTGATGTTTCACCAGTCTCTGTGGCCGGCATCTTCAGAGGACAGAGTTCCTACTCCAGTCCTCTGAAGATGCCGGCCACAGAGACTGGCAAAACGTCAGGAAGAACAACCTTCAGAACATGGCCAAAGAGCCCGAAAAACCCACAACAACCAACTTCAAGATCTCGTTCTTCTGGTTCTTGATCTTTAGAAAGGACTGTGCTGGCTAAAGGAGGGCTCTTGGCCACCCTATCAGGAGCACTAACGAGATGGCTTCTGAGCCGTAGATGTCAAAAGGCAGTTTGAGCTTCTCAGCCAACTGGATTTATCTGCCCAAAGGGGTTCAAATTGTGGATGATTATGCCACACTTACCTGGAACAGCTCTCTAGCAGTGGGAGGATCTGGAACCTGCTGGCCGCTACAAAGAGGTCTTGGGCCATGCCTGGCACCAAGGTGATCTGCTCTGTGTAGTAATAGTTCAGCATCGCTTGGACAATGGGGGGGTCCATGTCTTGCAAGAGGACCTCACCATCCTGAGACTCTCGGAAAGGGTTGGAGAACATCGCTCGGAAGTAGGGGTTGATGGCGGCCAGGAGCATTCTAGGTAACAGAGGACAAGAGAGAATCAGTTCAAGCATCTGAGATCCATGGTGGAAGATGGGCTTTTACAGAATTGTTGACTTATCACTGGGCACTTGACTCTGTGGACATACTGTAGCCGGAATCAGGCCTCGGAAGATAGATAGATAGATAGATAGATAGATAGATAGATAGATAGATAGATAGATAGATAGATAGATAGATAGATAGATAGATAGATAGATAGATAGATAGATAGATAGATAGATAGATAGATAGAT